AAAAAAAAAAAAAAAAGAAAAAGAAAAAGAAGCAGCACTCTTAGGAAGGATATTTTCTCTTCTTCCCTCTCCTCTTCTTTCTCCTTCTCCTCCTTCCCTCCATTCCTATTTGGAATGTTGGGAAATATCCCTTGGTCAGTTCTGCTTAATTTTGTAAGTATTTACTGAATTTTTGGCATCCAGAATTGCTGGGTAAGGCCTCAGGGATTTGTGTTTCCCACAAAGATGATTCCCGCCCATCAGGGTCTCCCCATATAAAGACAGAGATAAACACATACATACAAGACAATGATATGAGATAAAACAGAGGCAACCACAAAATACAATGAGAAAAAGGGGATAATAATAACAGTTAACATTTATTAAGTGCTTACAATATGCTCGGTACTGGATTAAGAGTTTTACATAGATTTCCTCATTCAGTCCTCACCAAAAATCCTTATAGAGCAGGTGCTAGTGTCTTCCCTGTTTTAAAGCTAATTTAGTAGGCTGCCCAGCGAGTTGGTGGCAGAACTAGTCCTCCCTTCTGCCTGTGCACTCTCTCTCCATCTAGCCAAGTCCCAGCCTTCACACTTCCCGTTAGATTCTACTTGGTCCTGGAGCCTGGACCCATTTGGAGGCAGCGGAGCCCAGTGGGGAAGTACAGGGACCTCAATATCAGATATTGCTTTCATCATGCTGCCCTTGGGGGTAGAGCGGCAAGTTTTCAAAAACTCTTAGAGGATTTCTGTTTTAGGGCAGATTTCCCAGAGGCGGACCCTGAAATTAGGATCCACACGCAAATGATTTATTAAGGAAAAGCTCTAAGGAGAACTGGTAAATAGAGTTGGATAGGCAGAACAGAAAAGGAGAGGAAGTCCACCCAAGGGGTAATCTCTGGTAAAGTCCTAACGAAGGCAGCTTTACCCTGACCTCAGCTTCTCACCGTAGGGTTCAGGAGTCTAAGAGGAACCTGACAAAGGCAAAGGACAGGCCTTTCACAGCTTGAGGGGGTATCTTGGGGGACACAAAGTCCTAGGCTTTCCATCTACGCAGACAAAGGGGCCCCACAGGCTGAGGGCACTTTCAAAGAACAGGTGTGGTTCATTCATTCCTTCCTCATACCCCCACATCCACTTATGCCTCCCCTTTCTTCCACCATATTCATCTTGCTCTACTTTAAGTGAAAAAGTGCTGTCCTGAATGTGAATGTTTGGTTGTCTGTTGATAGGGAAGAGGGACAGTGGAAATCCAAGAGGAAGTCAATTAAAGAAACAATGTCCCAGGCACTGAGGGCCAGGGAGGCAGCCATTACTTATTATTAAGGTTTTTCATGTGTCTATAGGGTGGTAACTTCCTGGCAGTGGCTGTGAATGGATTCTCTCTCTTCATCTTTACCCCTAGGCCATAAGAATCTAGAGCTCACACTCTTTTTTTTTTTTTTTTGG